CCTTTATGTTCTGAACCTTCCTGTTCGTTCTTGATGTAGTTCCCCTCCCACATTCACATCTACCACCCCAGCCTATCCTGGTTCAACTCCATATCAGCTTTAGCTCTTGATACTAGCCACCACTAGTCCCCACTGATTCCATATACCAGCTCTGCTCTCCATTCTCCCTGTGCGGCTCCAAATCCTGGACACAATTCCTCCCGCAGCCTTTCCACCTTCAATCCTTATCTTGATAACCTCTTCCCTCCTTACCTTCTAGGCTCAGATCTCCTAACTCTGCATTGCCTGCTGACTGTTTTCACCTACCCATCAGGAGCATTGAGAGCACAGGACAAAACAGTCTCCCTTGTCTCAGTTCTTGCATCCAGTGCCCCAAGGGCCCATTGCAGCAGGGAGAAGTCATTACAAGAACATGCCAGGCTCAGTCTCCTGCAGGCCTGGAATAGTCTCAGGGCACTGTTCTTGAGTCTTTTTGAACTGGAAGCACACCTCAACTTTTATAAAGTGCCTCATTTGAAAAACCAATTAATATATTACAGTGCTTACCTCCTTGCAAAGGGCTGGGGAAGTGATCAGGCAGGAATGGGCCTGGATCTGGGCTTATCTCCTCATACCTTGGGATGCCCTTCAGAGGATTTCATGTCACCCTGGTGGAAAATCACTGTTTTAGGGACTGTAGCTGTCAAACTTTAACAAATCCTGTTGAAACATGTATAAAGAAGCCAAGACAACCTCCCCACCCCAACCCTCTCTCACCATATGCTTTGTCTCTGCTCCAAATCTTAAGGTAGTAGCTGTTTTCTTTTTTCAATTCATAAACCAAAAAAGGCTTCCCTAGCCCTTTTTGGAAAGGCAGGTGACATTTTTTTTTTCCCAATAAAGATATTTAGTCAGGAATGCAAGCAATTAAAGTGTCAGAGCAAGTGGTTAGTGTCCAACAAACATAAGCTGCTAAAATCAAGGTCTTGTTTATCCTGGAAAGTGTTAGGTAACAGTAACTACAAGAGGTGCTACCTATAAATATTCTTTAAAGAACACATACTTACAGTGTTTTTACCTGATTATGGAAGTCCTTTTAACAGATGTGTGTCTTGCTTACATTAATTTTTAACCTAGACAGTTTCCCTACTAATGGTGGTATCAGAGGTAACAACTAAAAGTTCTAGTGTAGAGAAGATATTTCCAGCATTTTAGCTGCCTGTACGATTCAACATAGCTAGGAGCAAATCTAAATCTATATACACTAATAACCAATATATATATATGAGAACTGGAAGTTGGGAGGTGCAGGTTGTAGCAGTCTCAAATCTGGTTCCTAGTCTGTTCTTAGGTAGTGCAACATACTACCACTAGATGGGGCCTGATGTCAAGCCCACCATGATTTAGCTCATAGCTCAGAAAATCCTGCACCAGCAAGAAGTGGATAGAAGAAAATATATTATGCCTTTTTCAGAGTTCATTTCTAGGATATTACAATTTGAATATTTATGGAAATAACATGGACAACTGTACTTTTAAAACCTCTGGATTGAGCCAGTTTAAATTAATTATAATATATACTTGACTAGCAGATGACCCTTGTTATAAGACAGCCCTCCAAGTACTTAGATTCTATACATGGAAAAACTATAAATTTATTAAATTATAAATTTTCCAGGTATAGAATCTAATTATCTGAGGTTTGCCTTGAATTTGTCCTTTCCCCGCTGTTACAGCAGGAAAAATAAATTGGGGCGTGGGAGGTCAGGTGGCTCCTTTGCTCTTTGCTTCCCTCATTTTTTCCCCTGGCAGCCCCTTCCCCTCTCCTTACTGTCAGGCCCTCCTCTCCCCGAGCACATGGAATCGAGGACCAAATTTGACAAAACGGACCTTGAAATTAGACATGGCTGTAGCAACATGCATATACCATAGCATAGGTCATGTCAAGTTTCCATCTTGTAATGTCAAGCCTCCATCTCATCCCCATGCCAGGTTGTGTAACCTATGACTCATATTACCCCTCCTATGTAACTTGGTTCCTGAATGAATGGGGATGAATGAGGGTGCTTGAGAGACAATGGCATTAGGTCTAGAAATAGCTGCCTCTGAATGACCGAACCATCAACACCAATACCTGGACCAACAACCCAGCCCTTGGAACCACCTTCAGCATTCAAGAAACAAAAGATGAGGCAACCCACCATTGTGCCAAGGCCGCACATGCTCATTAAGAACACCTGGAGCCCTCTGGAATAGGACTGACCTTGCCTAGACAGGCCTTCCCCATAGGAGATCAGAGGTAGTCTGCCCCATAAAAACAGGTAGTGAAGACTGACTCCTTGGGAACGCCATTTCCATCTGGACCAGCACCATGCCACACTACCTATCCACCCCGGAGGCCCTGCCAGTGACCCCCACTGGGCAACACCAAGCTGAAGGAGACGCCGACTAGCCATCAAAGACCCACTTTCGGCCTGGGATAGGTAGATATCACCTGCATATTTCCTCCTCCAATTTGGACTCTCTCTCTCTCCTCCTGGACTTCAGCCCCTGCACCAAACCCTGCTGTGTGTGTGCGCGCGCACGCTCTGTCTCTCTCTCTCAGCTCCAGCCCCATTTTTCTGATCTCTCAGTTCTGTCTCCCCTTTCCTGCCACCTCTCAGCTCTTCTCTGTCCCTTTTTTGCAGGCTCTCAGCCCTATTGTTTTTTGCAGGCTCTCAGCCCTGTTCCCACCACCTTTTGCCCCCTCTGTTCCCCTTCTACAGGCTCTCAGCCCTGTTGCTTTCTGCTTTCAATTAACACCAATTAACCTTAAGTTACCCCAACTTCCCTCCAGTCTGTCGGTTCTAATCCCGGTCCCAGCAACTTTCAACCCCTACACTATCATTCTCTTTCTTACCTTAACCTTTCCCCAGGTATTCCAAGTACACCAAGCACATACATACACACCACAACACCCAAATTAGGAACTCACCTGTGTGTACATGTAGGTGAGTGGTATGTATGTGAACTGATATACATGTATGTCACTGTGTGCATGATATACAAATTAGTGATCCGTGTATGTGTATTAGGTGTGCAGGTATTGGTAATTGGTTCTGGTATAATTTCTTTTGGTCTGTATAGTGTGTGTAGGTGCTTGAATTGGCGATAGGTGTGCATTTGCCTAGGCTGGTAATTTTGAATGTGTATGTGCCTGAATTGGTTTTGTGTGTGCGTGCGCGTGTGCACGCCTGGCGGGGGTGCATGCACCTAGAGTGTGTATGCGCCTAGTGTTTGTATATGCACCTGATTTTTGAGTGTGTGCATGTGCAATTGTACACCATGCCCTCCTAACAGTGCAATATTGAGATCCTGAGAGTTGGCCTGACCCCATAGGGCAACAATGTATACTCCAGATAACCCCCTCCCTTCCCAAAAAAAGGAACCATGGGCTAAGTAGGGTGTTCTTGTCCTAAGTCCTGGGATCCTCCAAAAATATATATACAGATAAAGGCACAGGGCAACCTTTCACCTCATGGAGGGTGGGGCTATAGTAATCGCATACATCAGACAGAATGGGCAACAGAGGAATTCTGGGTGAACTGTCTGGGACCTTGTTTGATAGTGTTTGCCAGGCATTTAAGGCTGATGACACAGGAATCATTGGAAATGAGAAAGATCGATGTAACTTAGCTGCAGGAATGAAGAGGAAGACAAAATGTAGTAGGTCATGTGTTGAAAGAGAGCAAACTGCACTTAGCGGACACTACTATGTCTTACTCAGATTGTCCGCATAAGGCTATCCTTGTAGTAGATTCCAATCAGAATTTTCAGCACCAGGCCTTGCTCCAGCATCTCCAAGTGGTGGCCTGGTACTGCAGTAGATCTAGACCTGGTACTTGTTTGCTCCTGGGGGAGCAACTGCTTATTAGCGAGATTTCCAAGTATGTGATTATAAGAGGAGAGGGAAAACTGTGTCTTGTATTTAAACAAATATGGTATGCAATGCAGACATTCAAGTTACCTAATGCTGGCATGTTAAAACTCAGGCACTGAATAAGGTAGACTTGACAGACTCTGTGACTAGGTACAGACATTTGAAGAGGTTAGATTCTGTTAAGTGGTCACCCGCTCTAACTTGTTTACCTGGGTGTTGACCTTACCCGCAAGTTACCAGTTAGGTAGATCTAAATGCAAACTTTACAGAAGTTTAGGAAGGTGTTAAAAAAAAAAAAATAAAAAAATCTAAGATCAAAGGCCAACCCAATCCAAGTAAACTGTACCTCAGAGGTAGGTTAACTTAGATCAGGTCTGGCAACACTGATCTAATTGAACTTCTGTATAGTTCCTAGTGCAGCTCCAGGGTTGGGAAAGTCACTGGCCCCAGCCTTAAGGCTGCATTTTTCCCTACTCTCCCCAAACCCTGAAGACCAGCCAGCCCCACCCCCCACATTGCTGAACTGTCCCTGATTCCCCAAGTGGCTCCCAGTTGCCAAGTTCTGATGAAGTAAGTTGGGGTGGGGGGGGGTAGGAAAAAGAGAGAAACAGAGAAGGAAAAAAGTATACCCCCACCCTTTTCCTGATCTGCCTGCATCTCCCCAACTTGGTTCAAATCAGGCTCCCAGGACCAGGGAGTGCTGTTAAAAGCCAGACCCAGGATTGGTTTACAGGATTGGGGGCAGTTCAGTGGCAGGGGTGCAGGGTGTTTGGTGGGATTAGGAAACCTCTCTAATTCCACTTCCACAATGTCCCTCCCCGATCCCACCAAACCATCCCAGACCCCAGCAATCCCCCTGGTCTGCAGATCCCATTAGTACCAAGCTCCCCCATGGACCCTTCTTGTCCTCCAAGCCCCCCCAAACCTCCCTGCTAGTCCTCCACCCCCAATTTACCTTAGATTGGATGGCCATTTTTAAACTCGATCTAGCCTCTCTGAATGTCTACATACCTTTTTAGTTGCAACTGATTACTAAACAGAAGACTGTAAGGCTTAGGTGGATAAAGCCATTGCTAATATATTAAAAACCAGGAACGCACCCTAAATATTATAGAGTATTTTATTGTTAGAAAATAGAAGAAACATATGGGACACTTCAGTAAGCAAACCAATTTCAACAAGTTTTGGTCCTTCTACCACAAGCTGCTAGTATGTGCTATTTAGAATAGGAACCTACTGTTAAGTAAACATTAATCTTTTACTGAACATATTTAACATTTGCGAGGCTGCTGAATAAGGTAAATTCTTTTAGGCAGTGTAATCTTCTCCAGGGCGGGTCGTGGCTTTTGATGAGCTACTTGTAATACTGCTGCAGGAAATTTATGGCCGATCTGCAAAAATAAGGGGAAAAATAGTCAAAAGTTGAAGACTACTCTTCAGCCCTCTTCTCTTACTAAGAGTTGTGGGTTTTCATTAAAAACATTTTTTTTTTAATTTTTAAACAAAACTAAAGATTTTTTCCACACTGCATCAGACCAGTTTCAAGTCTGCTTTTAGCACCATACAGAAACAAAACCACCACCAAACAAACAAACAAAAAAAACCCCCACAGCAGCACCATATATCCAAGTTTGAAAGTTATTTTATCTAGTTAACTTTACTGTTTGTTTTATAAGCCACTTAAACTAAGGCTAAGTGGAGTTGCACAAGAAATTTAACACATGGGATCAAATCCCTGCTGAAAGTGAGAAATGTTATACTAATATTATAGTAGTAAACTATATGCTGAAAGTGTTGAAACTATATGATCAAGGCCTTATTAAACTCTGGAAACATTAAGGAAATTCTGCCTTACATGCACACAAGATAATCAGGGTGTATTATATTATGGATTCCAACTTTGCTGTAAAGGGGCATGTAAGTTAAGCAGCTGCTTCTAAAACAGATTCTTTCAAATGAGGAAAGTGGTAGCAGTGTCCCAATATGGAATGCACAGTAGCCATAGGCATGACTGATAGGATGGTCCATTCGTAGTAGTTTCAAAGAAAATTTGGGAGAATTTGCAGTAGGAGAAAGGAGGAATGTACTAGACTCCTTGAATATCATGCCACCATCATGGCTAAGGCCTGAAAAGCTGTATGACCAATGCTGGAACTAATCCGATGGGCAGTACATGTCCCCAAAATAATCAGTTATGTCTGTTCCGCTGATTTTCGTTTGGCCTCCTGATTTTGACTGTACTGCGACTTTGTTCTAGTATCAGCCAATGGGCATCTGTCCTAGCAAGGGAGCATACTGCCTTTTCAATACGGGATGACAAGTCTCCTTGCCTCTGTAACTAAGTGTATTAAGTCAAGCTTGTGACTATGGCATGGGATGAGAGCAAGAACCCATCTACATGTCTCACTGAAGACGTGTTTAAACAGTTAAATCACACCTTAAGTTGTCACCCAGTCCACCAATTAATGGAGTGCTAAGAGGAGGAATAAAGACACAAAGTTGCTCCATAAAATGTGTAATAACTTTGTGGCTCCTTACCATCACACAATGGATTGAATGAGCAACTGGGAGCTCTATCAGCTGATTGGGGTTCCCAGCCAGGCTCCCCCACATGCACCCCAGAGCCTGGGAGCTCACAACAACTGACAAGGCTTTCAGCCAAGAGAGCATCCCAGGCATCCCTGCAGTGGATATGATCCCCCAGCCACAGGGGTGCTCCAAGCATCCCTGTGGCTGGGGGAGTGCAGCTGATGTGATCTCCTGGCCATGGAGATGCCTGGGATACCCCTGCAGCTGGAAGCCCTGTTAGCCAAGAGGGCTCTCAGCCACAGGAGTTTGCTATTCACCAGTGTGGGGGGGAGTATAGGATCATGGAAACCAGGCTCCCCCTACACCAGCAATAGGGTGTGATGGGATCCAATTCATAATCCCACAATCATACTTTCTGCCATTCACATGTGGGATAGCATGAATCACAAAGTGATAGTAGATCACACATTAGCCCTACTGTGCCTTTGCTTGCCCATTGAGAGGGGACCCAACAGATTTGGGTTCTATTCCCAGCTCTGCCATCATTTTCCTGTGTTATCTTGGACAGTATTCCCATCCAGATTTTCTTAAAAAATAAAATCTTAAATTCATACACCCCTTTTAGATGCCTTGTTATGATAACAAATCTCTATGTTACTGCAATTGCCTTATAAGGTCCTATTCAAGAATCACAGCAGAATAAGGGGATCAAAGTTGCAAGTTGATAAACTGGCATTTGTAAAAGGTGTTACTAAACGTCTAAAGAAAAACTTCTCACCATCTGCTTCAGATTACAGCGGTTTTATACCAAGTTGATTTTGCTTTTTAAACACTTTGATCATTCGCTACATTAAACATCTATGCCTTATTCAGCTATATACACTTACTCTCTCCAGTGCACCTGCTAGCAGAACTCCCATGTTTTGCATTTTTGCAATACTAGCAACTGAGCTGTAAGAAAAAGAAAGCTTTATTCAGGATTTTCATCTCCAAGAGGGATTTATTTGCAAGCCTGTTTCCTAAAGACAAGCTATGCACCCTTTGCAATGCTGCCATAATTAAGCTTAAGGTGTGGAAGGGTTAAAAATGAAAAAGTTTTAGGAAACATTCTATATTAGCAGAGTATAGTCCTTGTATAGAGATTTATCATATTAAATGGATGATGTGTTCTGCTAGCTTAAAGGATAGCTAGCAATAGGGTTTTGGTTTTTATGGTCAACTTGTTATCTACAGAAAACATCAAGTTAAACAGTACATTTCTACAGTCTTTGATAAAAAGGAAGAGTCTTTTTTTCGTTGATGGGTTACATCTTCAGAGGTTGCAGGGTAGGTTCATTGCTACCTAGTCATGTTTGGAACAAGCCACACAATGAAGTAAATAACTGGGTATTAAACATTTTCAAAATCTTAATATTTGCCCCCTCCCCCTTCCCACCAAAGAACTAAAGTGCTAGGTTTAAAATAAATAAGTAAATAAATAAATAAATAAACAAACAAACCGCTTTGCAAAAAAAATCTGCATAAAGTTACATAATGACTCTCAAGTGTCCCTCAGGGAGCAAGTAAGAGCTACAGGAGGAGGAGACAAGGCTCCAAGGCAGCACTGGGGAAGGAAAAGGACAGACTCCCAGGAGGGGTGACAGTTGGAAATTTCTAACTTCTGTCTTCATCCATACCTGCAGCACGTTGGCTGAAGAACAGATACAGTCCTGTCAGAGGAGAAGGAACATGTTCCGTTACTGGAAGAGTCCAGGCTTCCCTAAGGTTGGAAGGATCAAGACCACTGATACCAAGAGGAAGTGATGGGTGGTGGTGGCGGGCATATGCAAACATTGGCCCCCAGGTGCCGAAGACCCATGGTATGCCACTGGTGGCAACTAGCAAGGGATGTTAAGGGCAAGAAGAAGGGTTTCTACAAGTATGTCAGCAACAACAAGATGATCAGAGAAAGTGCAGATCCTTTACTGAATGGAGGAGGCAATCTACTGACAGATGATGTGAAATATGCCAAGGTACTCAACGTCTTTTTTTACTTTGGTCTTCACAGGCAAAGTCAGCTAACTAGCTACTGCATCGGGCAACACAGATTGTGGAGGAGATGAGCAGCCAACAGTGGCTAAAGAACAGATTAGGGACTATTGGGAATAGCTGGACATGTACAAGTCCCTGGGGCCAGGTGTGATGCACATGGAGGGTGCTGAAAGAGTTGGCTAATGTAATTGCAGAGCTGCTGGTCATTCTCTTTGAAAACTCATGAGAGCTAGGAGAGGTCCCAGACTGCAAAGAATGCCAACAGCATACTGGGCTGCACAACTAAGAACACTGCCAGCAGATTGAGGGGAGCGATTCTTCCCCTCTATTTGGCACTGGTAAGGTCACATCTGGAGTACTGTGTCCAGCTTTGGACTCCCCAGTAAAGAAAAGAGGTGGAAAAAAACTGGAAAGAGTCCAGTGACAGGCAACAAAACAGTTAGAGGGCTGGTGAATAGGACTTATGAGGAAAGGCTGAGGAAACTGGGTGTATTTAGCTTGGAGAAGATAAGACTGAGCAGCATCAAGGACATTTCCAATGGTAAATGAAACATTTACCTACCCCCATGAGGTGGACCTATTGCTTACTGAGATTGAGAAATCTGATGTTTAGTTAACACTGATCCAGATAAACTAATTATGGTATGAAGTGGTATAATTAGGCCCAAACTTAAAATTCTTCACTTTCTCCGAATACTTTTCATGAGAAGTTGATCTAATTTCCCTGAATCTTGCTATTTAAAAAGTGTATCAAAGCTGAAATCCTCAGAAGATATTGCATAAGGGAATGTCACATCATGTGCAGAAGAGCAACCTAGAGACCTCTCCTTCAGGGGGAAAAGTCCTGTCAACAAGTCACTTCAGTCCTCAGGTAGCTAAAAGGCTGCCAATTTGGATGCTAACTGTGATGCAGTACCAATGACATGTCCACCAGCACCTGGATACAGACTTGTATTTTCATGTAGACACCTGTATAGTGTGTCTACTTAATACAAGTATGCATGTATAGTAGTACTATAAAAAGAAAATCAATATCCATCTCATTTGAGCCCCTGGAATATTGTATTATCTTACAAGTAGTCCAAACTATCCCCACCTGGTTTCCTAAATGTATTAAAACATCAGCCCCAAAGAAGATTATGACATTTAAATCATTCCTGAACAAGACAACATATGTCATTTAAAAACAAAAACTAGCCAATTGTTATAGTAGAAGCCTATAACTTTTACATAATTGCATCTTGAAAATGAAGTCTATCACTGTCTGCAAGAAACACGCTTCTATTTAGTAATCATCGATTTCTGTCTGGTTTCTAATGGAGTGCCAATTAGTATAGCTCTGTTTACTGTTGTTGTGCATCAGAAACAACGCTATGAGCTCAGGGAAGTTCCAGGAACAGTATTTTAGTTAAATGTCTGCAAAAGCATACCAAATTGATTTCTGTACTCCTGCCAAAAATGGATATTTGCACGTTATGAATGAACCATATTTTGCGGTTAAAACTTAGGAAGACTTTAAATTACAGCAATTTATGGTCATCAGGCTTAGAAGCCAGTTTTTGGACCAATTATGAGGCTGACCACAAACATCCTAAGCAATCTTTGGCAAATAATTTTGTCTCTCTCTCTGACCCTCAGTAGTTTACATAGTAAGGAACAGTATATCCCTGCAAGATATGGAAGTTGCAGCAACATGATTCTCAGGAAGTACAAGAATAGAGAGTTTTTCCAAACTCCACATTTCTTTTCCAAAAGGGATTTTAAGAGTTTCACCACCCCTTTAGGCATTTGTACACATGTCCTTTAAATCAGGCTCCCCTTAAGATGTTGTTTACCAAATATTTAGATAACTGCATACATCTTTAAGCCAGGTAGAAGGCCCTGAGCATTGTAAAAGGACCTTAGAAACACCTGTCCTAACCTGTGGGGGTGGCAGGGGGAAGTGAAAATTCTCATGCTGCCAGCACCAGGGATGGTATCTGTAAGGCTTCTTTCAGAGAATCCCTTTGCAACTTGTAGGATGGGGGTGTGTCAGTACAGGCTCACAACATGCAGCTCTGCAGACAAGCCTACCAGTACCATAGCAAGCAATGCATTGGCACTGGGCATTCTCGCTGGGGGTCACCAAATCAAGTGGACCACACACTACATTTTAAAGGCAGTGAGACACTTCAGAGCCCTTCCTCATGTGTGGGGGAAGCCTGCAGAGGGGAAAAGCTCCTCCCCACCCCTCAGGGGTTGAGAGCCCTGAGCTCTTGCTGTGGCAGTGGGGCTTCCTACAGCCAGGGCCCCAGCAGCACCACAGGCTAAGCCCTGCCTCCACTTGGGCCATGGTGGAGCAACTGCATCCCCAGGAACACTGCACTCCCCCTCTATGACCCATGCATATATAACAGCATGTAGGAGGGTGCACTGCACAGGACCTGCATCAGGTACTAAAATGCCTGGCTACAGCTCTGAAGTCTACCATAATTAGACAGGTTTCCAAGGCTGTCTCTAGGTTTTGGTTAGAACAAGTGGCCCCTTAACCCAGGAGGGTACAAAAGCAATTTAAGGCTGCCATAAACCCCCAAGATTCTCTGGAGTATATTCTGTTCTACTCTCTTTGAAGGGCAGCAGAAGTTCACCCATTTTGTTTCAAACTAGGCAAGACTTGAAATTTCTAATATTATAGAAAAAAACCTAATAGAAATCCAGAGTGTAATGCCAGAATTTTGTTAATTACCTAATCTGATTTTCTGTAGGTCACAGGACATGAACATGCCATTTGGTTACTCTTGTATTAAGCCAAACTTCACTTGGCCAGTGATGCCAGTTGTTAATTATCCTCACTGTTAAAATGTGTGCCTAGTTTTAAATAGTCTGGCTTCTAGATCCTGACATTGGTCCTTGCCATGGCACTCTTTGCTAGACTGAAAAGCTTCTGTCACCTAATATTTTCTCCCTGGAAAGTGACTTGAACACTATGAACAAGTCACCTCTTGTTTGTAAAACAAACAGACCGAGTTCCTTGCATCTCTCCGTATAAAAGCATGTTCTCCACATTGTATGCATCATTACTATCCAATCTTTTGTTTTGGAATTCCCTTCCAAGTTGCCTTTTATACATAGGCTGCACAGCCTAGCCTCTTCTCACCCCAGTGTTCACAACTGTAAAGCTTTTATTCTTTTCAAAAGCCTTATCCAGCTCCCCATTAAAGTATAAACGGTCCCCCATATATAATATTAAAAGCTATAATACCTTATCTTCTCTTTCACTGGATTTTTGGGATTTCTCTCAGAAGCTCCATTTTCTTGTTTTTTAGAAACTCTCATACCTCCAGCTTTGACTGCAACAGACAAGATATATAAAGTAGTTACATTTTTGTCATTCAACTAAGTGTTAATCATAAGATTGTTTTTTCTTTCAAAGCAGACAAGAGAAAACCTTGTAAAACATGCCCATGAGAACTGGCAATAAAGAAAGATGGGTTTTTCCAAGAGGTGACCTCCTTATTTTGCTTCTGCTGTGTGGTTGGAAGAAATGAAATTCTTCTATATGAAAGAAGAATGAGCCAAAAAAGACATACACCCAAGAAAGTAAGCTTTTGAACCACAGTATGACAAAATCAGGTTCAAGATACTGCAATTCAAAATTAAGTTTCCTTAAAGCAATACTAGTTCAAGAACTACCTGCTACCAGACATCCTCCCCAAGGATCTTAGAGGCAATTGTTTATAGAAGTTTATTTTTAAAACGCCATCATTTTTAGCACAATACATGAGTGTTGGTAGTAAGCTTTTCACAATTTCCTCAAGATGCTCCAGAATAAGACTATATATGTAATACTAGTTACAAGACAGACCAGAATCAACCCCATATTTACCATGCATTAAGTGTTCAAACAAGTTTAATTATATTTTATTAGCAATACTGTCACTCACCTAACCAATTAGCACCAATTAAGCTACAGATGACCTTAACAATTCAAGTGTTAAGAAGTGTCAAAAAATTCAGGTGTTTAAAGGAACATGTAAAACTTATTTCAGATAACCTGTCAAAATGAATGCCTTCTTCCTAAACACAAGGGTATTTGTAAGTTTTAAATCTGTCAAAGAAAATGAGAACCAAATGAAAAAAAGATTTTTGGTTCATTTAAATTTTATAGCAAGTTCCCTATTCTGTATTTTTGGAACTATCAAGACATGCATTTTCTTCATATTTTGAATTTCTGCACAGAATGGAAACAAAAACCTGAAATGGTTATAAAAAGGCACTTATGAAAAGATGGTAGAATATGTTCAACACCAAACTCTGGAACAGTATTTATTTGCTTACACCTAGTCATGACATTTCTATGACTTTCCAGTCAAGTCCTGTTACTGGCATAGCCCTTCAAAATGTCCTGCCTAGAAACAAGAATCAACTTCCCTTTACCTCATGGACTACATGGCCTTAGGCTTAAAATGCGGTGACACAGCAATGTCTACTCCATACAAAGGAAACGCCCAGGCAGTTATTCTGCAGTGTGAAAGGAAAAATTCTCATTTAAACCCTCTTAATATGAGCAACGTGTTGTTTTATTATACCATAGTAAAGAGCCCAAGACAAGGTTAAAAACTACATTAATATATAAAGGACACCCCCTCCTCTTTTCAAAACCACAAGGGCCACTGTGTGCTCAAATTCTTTTGGGTGCTAGATTTGAAAGTCTTCCCTGAAATAACAAGTTGCTAATTAAAGAAAAAAAAGAAATCTAAGGTCTAGGACTTGGTTTTGAAAAATGTGCAAAGCCTACAATTCTCACAGAAATAAACTGGAGTTGAGTGCTCAGAACTCTGCAGTATTAGATATGTAGCTTTAAAAAAAAACAAAAGATATAAAAGCTCTTTAAAACCTTTTTGGAAAAGGTTAGCTTTAGTTTTATCTACTGAAAGTTTATCCATCTAGATTGTCGCTATGGGAATGGTGGAGGACACGTTTAGAATGTTATAGACATGACAAAAAGTTGCCTTTTAAAATTGAAGTTTCTTATGTTCATTTCTAGCCCAAAGTTGAACTGTGTAGAGAGTTTTGCAACTTTGGCAATCTGGGGGAGGGAGGGCTAAAATTTAAGTTTTTAAAAATTAGGACAGTATGTCACGAACTGATCCATAACACAAGTTTAAATAACCCAAAATATTCTCCCTCACCCATAGATTTGCATTGCCTTTTAACAATAAGCCAGACCCCAAATCAAAATTGTCCAAGTTTTTATAAGTGTTCAAAGGACAGAGCTGAACCAAGATCCAAGTTCTGTGCACTTGGCCCTTTGCTAGGGAAATGCTATAAGCCTTTGTATGTCACATATTGCAAAAGTTTAATATAGGGTTTTCTATTTTCAAGTTGAATGTAGCAAGATGTTACACAGAGGCAGAAGCACTTTTATTCAAAGCTGTGCACCCCATTAAAGAAATAAAAACAAACAAGCTGCACAAAAGAATGTTATGGCTCAACTGACAAAGACTTGTGAGAAATCCAATCTGACACTAGTAGTTCATTGAAGTAAATGGACTCACTCATGCAACTAAGATACAGAATTTCACAGTAGGTTAATACGTTATGCATTAGATACTCGTTACCTACCTTTTTCATCTTGAACCTTTTATTGGGAGGAGCTGGGCAATCCTAGATTGCCCACACTTGGTAGGTACCCACCTGTGTTCATGGGGAATTTAAAGATGCCTCATTTTGGTAGATTCCAGGAAGTTAAGCAACTTTTAACAAATACCTGTAAAGAGCTATAGCTTCAAATCTATCAGGATACCCGAACCAAAGGGTTTAAATACAGACTTCAGTTTTCAGGTGATCATAATCTGCAGGTAAACACACCTGGATCTGAATTATAGCTTCTTTTTGCTAGCACTCAAAATTCTCTAGGGGGCCATGTACAAATACCAATGTATTCTAAACCTAAAAACAGATGTACTATTTAGAACAAATGTTCTTGCAATGTTTTAGAAAACTCTAAAAACTAATTTTTAACAATGCTAAAAAAAAAATAAATACAGAAAATGGTTAGTGCCTGGTGTGGACTGTCCATGCTTAGAGAGAAAAACCTTAGCCTATTTAGAAGAGACATTACTGTACATACAGTTAGTATTTAATAAAGAATACACAGAACTTTAGTAATTAGTTACATACATGTGAAATAGCTATAGATTATTAATCAGAACTAAGCATCTCCAAGTAACAGGATTTTTACACATTTAATTTGGATGATGTACATGGGAATTAGCTAAAATCTGTTGCTTTAAAACTTCATAGTCTTGTACAAACAAGTGCCAAATGGTATTAAGGCAAGTCACGCAATGCAATCATGCTTATGTATCACTTAACATCTAGATCTTTCCTGGTTATGTGCAAAAAGGTGGCGAGGGTGGGGTGAAGAATGGCAAGGGGAGAAAAATCACATGAATACAATTATTGACATACAGCAAAATCCAACTTGCTGGTATTTCCTTACAGCCAAGGGGCCGCCTGCCAAAATCCAGGGTACAGAGAACCACTGAAGAAGTGCTTTGGTGGAGGGGGCTGCGGATGGGAGCAATGGCTATCTTAATGCCCACCTCACTGCTTATGTACCCTACTGCTGGAGGTGGATCTGGATCCAGTCTGCAAACCTTCTTGCGGTACAGACTGGGTGCACAACAGAAAGTTTCACACCCCTGCCTTCCAGCACATCTGTTTCAAGATGAGAGAGTTTGTAGAGTTCACAGTCAAAGAGCTGGATTCTGTTAGCTGATCAGCAGTTATTCTTGCACTAAATTCCCAAAATCACTGGGGTACTGCCTAGATATCAATCAAACCATGACAGTGGGACTTATATATTTTGTCATTTGCAATAGGGGCAGGAGGAAGAGATCGATTCCAGTTGAATAAGGGTTTCTGATGCCAAGTGAGAAGCTCCATTTCACAGACATCATCAACTTTGAGGACGCTTTGCCCTTGTAAATCTTGCTTAGTCTCATAAAAACATCCAGAACCTGCCTGGGATTCCTCTGATGAACACCATTTGCCCACCCTAGGGCCTCACCTGCCTTCCTCACCTCCCAGCATCTGACCAGGCGAGTCTCAGCCCACCAAAGCCCGCAATATACACAGATAGAGAAAGCGATACACCTGGGGTTAGGGTTAGCGCTGAGCCTTGCCAGGCTCAGGACACCCCTCATTAGACTCAAGCCCCCAGAAAACACCAGCACGTAGTCTGCGCTCCTCATGACAAGCCAGAGCCGTGCCCGTGGCAGGGATCCCGGGCAGCCGGCAACAGGCCAGGCTCAGGCACGGCAGGCTGCCACCTGAAGGGCGACTCTGCTTGGCAATGAAGAGGGGGAACTCGCCTGGTTTCCCACGGCACCCGGGAAAGGATCTCAGGGCCCCCCGCGGGAAACTCGGCCGTCTGCCCCGTGCCACCGCCTGCCTCCCGTCCACCTGCCCCCTGGTTTGCAGGAAT